TTCCCACGGCCAACACCAAGCAGATTTATCAGGAGATTATCGAGCTGGCCGTCAACAGGACGGGCCCTGTCATTGAGGTCTTCGATATCGAGGGCATGGCCGAGAAGCGCCTCGTCGTTGCTTTCCGCTCCAGGACAGCGCGTGGCCTGTTCTCCGCACTTTCTGATCTCTACCACTACTATGGCGTCACCTCCTCAAGGAAGTACGTCGAGCAGTTCTCCAACGGCATCACCGTCATGTCTATCTACCTTCGCCCCGCCATGACCCTCGAGGGCGAGTACCCTCCCCTCGAGCAGTCCATCCACCAGATCACTAAGGAAATCTCCCTCCTGTACTGCCTCCCCCACAACAAGCTTCACGATCTCTTCACCAGCGGTGAATTGAGTCTTCAGGAGACCGTCTACGGCCACTGCGCTTGGGTCTTCATCCAGCACTTCCTGAACCGCCTTGGATCCGAGTATGTCTCGCTGACCGACATTCTCGATCCCAAGAGCAACGTTCATACTGCTCTGCTGTCCAAGCTCAAGCGTCGTCTGAGGACGGAGACGTTCACTCCCGACTACATTCTGGAGATTATTCAGTCATACCCCGGCCTGGTGCGCGCTCTGTACGCATCTTTCGCCAGCGTTCATCTCGCTGTCGGTGCCGACTTTGAGCGTCACTTCATCGCGCCCACCCCCGCTTTGGAGGTTATGTCCGATGCTAAGCTTAAGGAGAAGATCACCCGTGAAGTCTCCAACGAGCACGAGGAGATGGTCATGACTGCGTTCCGCGTCTTCAACAACGCCATTCTTAAGACCAATTATTTCACCCCTACCAAGGTCGCCTTGAGCTTCCGCTTGGACCCGGCCTTCCTGCCTGAGATTGAGTACCCCCGCAGACTGTATGGCATGTTCCTCGTCATCGGTGCTGAGTTCCGTGGTTTCCACCTCCGCTTCAAGGACGTCGCACGCGGCGGTATCCGTATCGTCAAGTCTCGCAGCAAGGAGGCGTACGGCATCAACGCCCGCAACCTCTTCGACGAAAACTATGGCCTTTCTAGCACTCAACAGCGCAAGAACAAGGACATTCCCGAGGGCGGCTCCAAGGGCGTCATTCTTCTTGATGCCAAGATGCAGGACCACTCCGAAGAGGCCTTCGAGAAGTACATTGACAGTATCATTGACTTGCTCTTGCCTGGTGTGACACCTGGTATCAAGAACCCCATTGTCGACCTTTACGGCAAGCAGGAGATTCTCTTCATGGGCCCCGACGAGAACACTGCTGATCTTGTCGACTGGGCAACGGAGCACGCCCGCAAGCGTGGCGCTCCCTGGTGGAAGTCCTTCTTCACCGGCAAGTCTCCCAAGCTTGGTGGTATTCCTCACGACGAGTACGGCATGACTACTCTCTCTGTCCGCGAGTATGTCAAGGGAATCTACCGCAAGACCGGCCTCGACCCCTCGACCGTCAGGAAGATGCAGACTGGTGGCCCTGACGGCGATCTGGGCAGCAATGAGATCCTGCTCAGCAACGAGAAGTACACCTCGATCGTCGATGGCTCTGGTGTCATTGTGGATCCCAATGGTCTCGACAGGGAGGAGCTTCTCCGCCTGGCCAAGAGTCGTTCCATGATTGTCAACTTTGACGTCTCCAAGCTGTCGAAGGATGGCTACCGAGTCCTCTGCGAGGATACCAACATGACTTTGCCCACGGGCGAGGTCGTTGGCAACGGAACCACCTTCCGCAACACCTACCACCTTCGTGATACGGGCATGACCGACATCTTCGTGCCTTGCGGTGGTCGCCCCGAGTCTATCGACCTCATCACCGTCAACAAGCTCATCAAGGATGGCAAGTCTACGATTCCCTACATTGTTGAGGGCGCCAACTTGTTCATCACACAGGACGCCAAGCTGCGTCTTGAGGCGGCTGGTTGCATCATCTACAAGGATGCCAGTGCCAACAAGGGTGG